CCTGTTGAAGTTAATCTCAGTATTAAGGTCACAGAACAGAGACGGGGCAGACGTCGGCCTCGTTAAAGTCCTAATCTGAGCTGCAGGCGTCTGGGAGGTTAAACACGAGCGAGTGTAACTGATATTATTTAGTGTTTATTGTTTGTAAAATGAGGTACAGTATATTAGAGGTAGAGAGGGAGCTGATATATGTGTATATGTGTATAATGTATATAATGTGTAATGATATGTATATATGTGTATAAATGAGTGTTACTGTCTACTGAATTTCACTGGAAGAAAAGGAAACATTAAAAACATGTGTACTGTAATAAACTGCTGTAAAGTTTACAGTAATTTACTGTCAATCTGCTTTTCCAGTAAAGTACTGTAGTATCTTCATGTTGTATAAAATGACACATAACCCTGCATACTTGCTCATTTGGCTGATGCAGGATACAACCGAGCTGAAGGTTACGGGTCTTGCCCAGAGATGACAGCTGGGATTTGAACACACAACCTTCTGAGCTGTCACTCAATACCTTAACCACTGAGCCATGACACCAACACCACCACAACACCACCGCAGCTAGCTTGCATTGATTCAAATACTTCTAGCACTGAATTAATGCCGCTAAAAGACTGCAATGAATCAGTGCAAGCTAGTCATGCTAGCTGTGGTAGCTCAGTGGTTATGGGTTTGAGTTGCAGCTATGAAGGTCATGTGTTCAAATCCCAGCACCAACAAACTGCCTTGACTGGATCCTTCAGCTCAGCTGTATCCCGCATCAACACACGGGGTTATGTGTTATTTTCTACTGTGTGTGATATCACAGTACTTTTCTGTAAATGTTTACAGTAGTTTACTGTAAATTTTACAATACTATCTGCACAGGAAGTGTGTGTTTAGCGTGTTTAGCGCTCCGATGCTCTCAGATGAACAAGTGAATAATGTAAGATCGTACCTTACAACCGAGTAGCCATGACTTCACATATATATATATATATATATATATATATATATAGTGTTTACATTAACACGCTCGCTCCAGTCATACGCTATCGTTTCCATAGCAACAGCTCGTTCACAGGGTCTTGTACACTAACAGATAAAAAGCATAACGCGTCCTTTTTTTTAAATCAATTACAAATTGTAATTGTTGTTAAATCGCTGTGGTGTAAGAGGAATAAAACACTTGGGGGCATGCTGTTTGAGGAAAGTAATCAGCTTTGGGGTGTGTAGACTTTTTATCTGCGCTGTATATATATGACACTTTATTGTTGCAAATCTGTTACGGAAGCCATTTTATAGATAACCTGAAGTTTTTCTCTTCGCAGTTGCTGTTGAGCGCTGAACCGTTCCCGCCGGCCGACGAGCGAAGAACCGCGTGTTAGTCGCTGAAAGCGCGCTGAAGACGTGATGGTGCACTTACTTTCGCACTTTTTCCCTGTTCTAGTGTCTGAAGTGGAACTGGAACGATCTGATAACTAACCAAAACAATATGTTATTAAATAAAATCATAAAAAAATTGTCATAGAATCATCATCATTTCAGCGTGTATCACAAAATATGCGTAAATTTTTATCTTTGGAATGGTTCATGCTAAGCTAGCAGGCATGCTAGCTATCTTAGTGATCTTGCCTTTGTGCAATATTAGCCTGAGAAGCTCCATGATAGCAATCTAGAAATCATGCTAGCTAACTTTGCTAATGTTAGCGACGGACCGATGGGGATTGCGATATTTACGTTGTATATACACTGACACGTTTGTGTTTAGTTACATATGAATCAAGCACTGAGGAAATGTCTCTGTAAATCAGTGTCCTGACTCTGACTCAGGAAAGGCGGTGTGTTAGCACACGACTAGCGGGCTGTTAACTAGCAGCCTGGAAGCTTAGCTTGATGGTTTATGGTATATTTTTGTTATATTTTTCTGTTGTTTAATAAATCACTAAGAGGGAAACTTCGCTAGCACTTCGCTAGCATGCTAGTCAGAAGGTAACATTTACAAATTCTGGCATTTGTAATGATGCTAAAGCTGAAGAGACGGCAAATAGGAAAATAGTCAGCATTGTGGTGGTAGCAGTAGCTCAGCTTCATCACACCATTGTGTCGTTGATTATTTTCCTGTAACAGTGTGACATGGAGTGTTTTCTTCGAGTGTGTGAAGAGTTTAACTCGAGTGAATTTCTGTCGTGATTGCGATGTTAGAAGCTAAATTGAAAAAATAACAAGTCTCGGGGGTTGTAAGGGTTAATCCTCGGGAGAGAGAGAGAGAATAATTAGCGGTTATGCTAAGTGTGTTAAGTGTGTTAAGTCTCTGTGGAGTAAAACGTTAGCGTGCAGGTTAACATCGGACAGAAGCGTCTCACTGACACTCATTAACACTGTGTGAGGATTCACAGCGCGACGTGATGACGTTAAAACACGTCCATGTTTTAGATGAAATTCTGCTTATGGAAATTGGAAGCCCAAAGAAGCAGCATTTCGCCGAGAATGACTCCACAAGTCTGTGAGTGTAAATGAGTAATGACTCGCGGCGCAGGAAGTCCTGAATAACCAGATAAGGATAATGACTTTATATCGGAATCGTTTCCTGTACTCGGCTTGATGCCACTGATCACAATTTATCACTAAAACAATCTGGAGAACATCTGCTTCTTGGATCTGCCGCTTTATAACGACGAGAGCGTCCAGCTTTTGTTAAGTGCGTTTGGAGAAACTCCAGTTAGTTCAAGATCGCCGTCTGTTCCATCAGCGAGTAATACACGTGTTTGATGTTTGTTTTTCGTCCAGATGGAGTGTGTGACGTGGGAGTGAAATTCAGTAGACAGTAACACTCATTTATACACACATATACATATCATTACACATTATATACATTATACACATATACACACATATATACACATATACACACATATATCAGCTCCCTCTCTACCTCTAATATACTGTACCTCATTTTACAAACAATAAACACTAAATAATATCAGTTACACTCGCTCGTGTTTAACCTCCCAGACGCCTGCAGCTCAGATTAGGACTTTAACGAGGCCGACGTCTGCCCCGTCTCTGTTCTGTGACCTTAATACTGAGATTAACTTCAACAGG